GCGGCGAGGAACAGGTCTATGGGCGGGGAGGTAGTGCTTTGGGATGCCCGCGGTTTGCTAGGTCTCCCTTTCACGCCTTTCATTAACTTTTCGTGCAGTGACATCGTGATTTGGGTATGTCGTGGCATTGTTCTTATGTGCTTTGGACGTTACTGCATGTTATTAAGTACTAAGGTAAACACCGTTTCCGTGGACAGAATACCCGGCCTGGTGGGTATCTCTATCACATTATAAATGTGAAAAAACAACCGAGGAAGGCTTCCGGAGTTCCCAAGTCGACGCAGCGCGATGATTGGCTGGAGAACGAACACTTGTACGCACACAATGTACTCTACGATCTACACTGCCTTCTACAGATACCAAGTTTTCATATCACATATGCACACATGCTTTACAAACTTTTAAATAGGGACGTCGCTCGCAAACCCATCGTAGGCGTATCTAAACTGACTTTAAAATGTTTTTATATTTCAACAAGGACTGGGAATTCTACGGAAATTCGTCTGCTAAACGGAAACAAAAGACGACCGACGGATGGCGTCGTCACAGAATTTCTTCCAATGGCCGTATTTTTGTTATTTTTAATGGCTACAGATGGTTTGCTACCAAAGGAAAGTGTATAAAACAACAATGAGATATTTTCTATGTCCAAATAAATTGAACATAAAAAAGCTGAAACCATCCAGGTATGAACTGATATGATGTGGCAGATCGAACATCGTAGCGGAAATCTCATCCGATGTCACTTCAGCTGGCCTTCCCACAGTCCCACAGAGTTACTTAAACCTTCAGACCTACAACACCCTATGAACAGTCGCATCCTATTTTTAAAGATAAATCACATTTATAGGTTCAATGTCGCATTTTCTCAAGTTGGTAAATTTGGAAATGCAACCCCACAGGCAACTTTGCACGAATAAAATAATTTTCCGATAGCTTTCATCGTGTTCCGAACGAATCTAGCACTCATTTCCTTCGCAAACGAAGCACAACTACGATATCGGTCCCGATAGTAGGGGAGGACAAGATATATATTAGGGAAAATCGGGGGGGGGGGTAATTTCGAGAAATATCGGTAAAACACTAGCAATCGTAGTATATCGACACATTTCCTGATTGTAAAGGGGGCTCCGTCCCCTTAAACCCCCTTTCAGTGGGGCTATCGCCCCCCACCCCCCACCCAGTCTACAAAATCTTCATCTCGTATGTTCCGGCAGGATAGAGCCTGGGCAAACCAGGTATCTGACACGTTTACATCCACCCTACCCCCCGCCTATTCTACAAAATCTTCACATCGTATGTTCCGGCAGGAGAGACCAGTTCAACCACGTCTTACCTTATGCACTAACGCCAGACGGGCCAGGCTGCGGGTCACTGGGATCGTCGGGGTCATCCACGTCATTGTTGGCGGGAATTGCGATCGCTATCTGGCGTTCCTTATCGGACAGCGGAGGGTACAGCTTCCCGGCTTCGACGAAGAAGTGGTGGTGGACTACTTCCGGCTTGTATTGATGCAGAAACAGATACCGACCCAAGTATTGTTTATAGAATTCCGGTCTATTGCCTGGTCTCTTGCTCCACTCTTTAACGTCACGCCACAACCGCTCAATGTTCTGAGTGTGGATCTCCGGGTTTTCGGGATCCACAAAGTGCTCCCTGTGATTTATGACTTGATGTTCGTATCCGTGTTCGCTAATCGTCCGATATGCAGTACATTCGTCACTTACGATGACTGACCCGGGGAGAATATACTTCTTTATAAGAGGTATGAGGGTTTCAGCGCCATGGTTCCTGCTCGGGGTATCAACAAGGGGGACAAGGAAGAGCTTCTTGCTGACGCGCTCGATCCCGCCGAACACCCAGATCTGGCTCAGCAGCCCTCCGCTCTCATATTCACGCTTGCCAAAGAGTGTCTTGTCAATTTCCACCACAATTCCTGGTCCACCAATGGGTTCTTGATTGTCTAGCCAGTGTTCCGTGACCTCGGAGCAGAAGCTTCTCCAGGCCACACTCGTGCGCTCGGCAATATGGAGGCACCCAATAACGGTCTGATGATCCCAGTGTTTGCTTAGCCAGTGATTGATGAAGGAGAGTATTTGATAGGGTTCAAGTCTAGTTCCCGAGAGAAATGTCCCTTTGTAATCGCTTACCGTGAAGTTGCACTGTTTTCTCCGTTTTGTCTTTGCGATCTTTGTCCACGCGCCACAAACCCACTGGTGTCTGTCTTTTCTATAATGACACGGTGTCTTGCAGTGCGGGCACTGAACTTCCACTGGAAGAACACCGTGATCTCGGAGATATTGCAAACTAGCTTCGTTATTGCGATGATATTTTGCGAGAAAGTCGAAATAATTGTTCTCACAACCTGCACACACTGTAGCCATGATTAAACTGATTTGAATTTCAACTGCTTTCCCCTAAGCCCAGCTTCTATGTGTCTACTATCACGTGATGATCTACTCCATATCTGATTGGTTCTATTGAATGTCTTTGGTCACGTCACGTTCACGAACGAATCTAATTGGCTCATGTGATTTCCCGCGCATATCTCACCGCTACAAATCCGTCCGACTTTTCGTCGCTCTTAACGCCTTTTTGTCATTTTGTCACGGCGCTGGAGCCGTAAGGTTACTGCGGCTCCTGGAAATCGTGAATTTTATGCCCTTAATAACTCCGTTATTATCAGTTTCGAAGAAAATGGTATAGAAGAAAACTATCATAGAATGATGCGTTCTACCACATACATGGTAAGCTCAGATTCTTAATAATAGGTGTGGGATTGCATTTCCAATAATACCTGGTAATACATTTAATGTATTTTGTTTTATGCATGCAATAAACAAGAAAATAACGCAGGAAATCTTATAATCGCCATATGCTGATCCTACGCACTGTAACTGCAATCTAATATTCATCCGTATATGATAGTTTATGGTCTGATTTTATTATTTATATGATGTTTGGAGAACGGCAAAAATGCAGCAATTTAACACATTTCAGAGATCCTCACAATACTTAGCAAATAAGACTTAAACATGCTTCTCCAGTTCCACTAATATAAAGGAGCGGTCACACTTGTCTTATCTATCTGTGTGGTCTTGATTATAGACCAGGATGCTTTTCCGACAGCGAGGGTTACCGAGATCAAGGTCAGTATAGGATACAGACCATGGCCGAGATGAAAATCTTCGTACAGCGTGGCACAGAGCGAGACCCACTGTCCTGGTCTTTCGCATCGGATTATTACCGGCAACAGGAAGAAACACAATGCTAAAGAAATACTGTAGTATAATTACAAGGAAGGGAGTAGATCCAACTCGCCCCACCAACTTGCCCCACATTTGTAACTACTCACTCGCCCAATCCAGATGACCAACTCGCCCCGGTATGGTCCTATATGATCTGGTATGGTTCGATAGGGTCCGGTATGGTGATTAGTCATACCCAACTTGTATGACAATAACCGCTATAAAAAGTGGGGCGTGTTGGTTATCGGGATGGGGCAAGTTGGACTATATCCCTAGGAGGCTATCACTCGATCGTGGAAAGGAGTTCTCAGTCTGGGGGCTATGGCTTCCATGGGGGCAACGGGGTACTTTCTGGGGAGCCATAAAATGTGAAAATTATGACGTCGAATTAAGTTGAATTCTACGGACATATAACTATCTCTCAGAAATTAATGAATTGGTATCTTTCCATAAAGTGTTCTTTTCCTCTAGCTATTGACACTTTAAAGTTCATAACAAATTATAATTGAATCTGAAAAGTTGACAGACACAACGGAGCTATGGAGATTACTGCATATTGGTCGGGGGCCACAGAATGAAAAAGGTTATTAGGAACTACTGATCTAAACAATTATTATACCATATTATGTACAATTACCCTGTAGGAATGAGTAATATAGATTTTATTTTGCACGGGTCTAACCCTACGACTAGCAAGGCTGTGTCACCATCGACAGTTGATTATTATGTATTATGTTGAATGGAAAACTACTCTACCGTGTTGATACTTATGGTAGAAATACCCATAATGCAAAAATTAAGTTTATTGAAATGAAATAAGTAATTTAGTTTATTCATTGTGGGTTTTTCTTACCATATATTATGTTATATTCGATTTCCGTCCTGTGTATAGTGTGGCGATGTATGGATTCATATTTCCGCATGATTCTAATGAGATATTGAATAGAATGTTAGACAAATTTTCTAGTATCATCTTTGTATTTTTAATAGAAATTATCATTCATTGTTCATGTGCGAGTGAAACTATAAATAGCAAGTAGGAAAAGTAATCTGACCTCACGTGACCCGCCTGTCCGTTGTCCCCCTCTTTATCAAGCCTGGGGATGAGTTTCCCATTCGCCATTTTACTTATTTATTTATTTATCTATTTTTACGTATTTATTTATTCATTTTATAATTTTGCGATCTTTGCAGTTACGGGTGGGAAGCGTTAATGGGTAATGAGGGAAAATAACGTCATAACTTTTGAAGTTTGTGAAAGACATGCAGTGCATAGTTGATTCTTTTTTTATTCCAGAAAAAAGCATGACGATGATGATGACGGTGTCAATGATGATGACCGTGATGATAATGACCATGATGATGATCATGCTGATGGTGACGATGATGGTAATGTCAAAATGATTTAGTATATGCATAACCGTGCACGTGACTGTTCATTCATGCCTAGACTGTGTATGTGCATGTCCGAATAGTGAATAATAATTGTATCTGGCCTCGCTCAGTTTTAGCAACTCTGCCGTGCATCTGGAGAACTGATAACATTCACAACCCATTAAACTAAGGTCCTGACCATAGTTACCCACACACAATGACCCAAACAATATTCAAAGACATGCAGTACACAGTAGAGTTTGAACAATTCAGCATACGACATTTAAATGCTGCTTTAAGCCAAAATACTTCAAAACCAGCAAACGCACGCCGCGCATGTGTGTGTAGACATACAAACACACACACACACACACATACACAGTATATATATATATATATATATACACACACACACACACACATATATATATATATATATATATATATATATATATAGATATATATAGTATATATATATATATATATGTATATATATATATGTATATATATTTATGTATGTACAATATGTATATGTATAAATATGTATATATATATATATATATTATATGTTATGTGTGTGTGTGTGTGTGTGTGTGTGTGTGTGTGTGTGTGTGTGTGTGTGTGTGGTGTGTGTGTGTGTGTGTGTGTGTGTGTGTGTGTGTGTGCATATATATATACATAAGTATATATGAATATATATATACATATACATACATACACACACACACACACACACACACACACACACACACACACACACACACAACACACACACACACACACATATATATATATATACATATATATATATTATTTATTTATATAATATATATATTTATATATATATATATATATATATTATATATATATATGTGTGTGTGTGTGTGTGTGTGTGTGTGTGTGTGTGTGTGTGTGTGTGTGTGTGTGTGTGAACTGTCATACAATAGGAAGCGCTCAATCCACGTGGGTTTGTTTACATCGAACGGCATACCAACTGAAAAGTATTTTTTATTTTTAAGAGAATATAAACAAAATAATTTTCTCATTACATGTAGCTTACAACGACATATATTCACATCTGCGGAAATGTATATTAATGTCTGTTAATGCATGAAGCTGATTTTGACTTCCATGCAGTTAATCTCATAAGTTGGCAGCGAAGACTATGTAGTTTTTGGTTGGTTGCAGCGATGTTTTTAAAGGACACTGTAGTGGTAAAGGTCGCTTCTTCAAGCATAACAGTCTGTTAAAGAACTGGTCGAGACACCGTAGAGAGAACATTAACGTGAGCGGATAGAACGACCAATCCTAACGTTTTACAGAACTCAAGTGAAGAGAAAGCTTATGATCTCGAGCTTTGATCTAGACTCAGGTGATGAACCTGGAGAGAGAAATGTAATGAATTACGAACACCAGAAAAACAGCAAACGGAGAGGTAGTGACAGTGAAGATTACCCATACTCCAAACAAGCACGAAACGAAGAAACCGACAGACAATCCACGGAACATCGTACACAAGCATCAGTAACCCAAGGTACCCCTCAAGAAAATGTTGTTCTTATCCAGTTAACAAATCAATCAATCACCTCAAGTTTCAATCACCCGATCAGATTAACAGATTGATGGCCGTTTGAAAATAAAAGATTACCGATTGATTTAACTGTCATTCATGTTTTTAAAGGAAGCGCTCAATCCACGCGGGTTTGTTTACATCGTGCGGCATACCAACTGAAAAAAAATGTATTTTACATAAGAATTAATACTAACATAAAATCTTTTCCTCTTTACATGCAGCCTACAATGCTATATCTTTACATCTGTAGGAAATGTAGATTAATGTTTCAGTAGGAAACTTATTTCTATTTTAATGCTGGCAATCGCATAGGTTGGCAGCAGCGATGTTTTTAAAGGACACGTCTGTAGTGCGAAACATCGGTTGTTGAACTAATTTCAGTCTGTCATGAAGTAACGAAAGAGATTAAGACCTCGATGAGTAACCCAAAGCCCACAGAATTCAGGATTAGGTCACTTCCATTCCCAAAACTCGTCCATTTCGCGCAGGTTGAGGCTAAATAAAGCCTTCAGTTCCCTTCAGTAGCTCAGCGCCTGCCCCCATCACCACCTGAGTCCTCGCCATCAGGGCGCTCGATTCACGCAATGGCAGGGGAATGTTCAGTGGCGGGATGCAAAGGGCGTGACAATTTACTCACATTTCCGGAAGAGGAGACTGAGAAGAGAGTGTGGCGTGACTTTTGCAAGAGTGAGACTGTGAATGTTGAGACTGCCCGAATTTGTGGCAAGCATTTTAAAGATACAGACTATGAAAGTGTCACATCTTCGAGAAAATTAAAGACTGGGAGTCTACCAACACAACATCCATCTGGAATTAAGAGTAAGGAGCATCTGTTTTAGGTAATTTTTTCTAATACTTCTGCATAATGGGTCATGATGTTTTTGGTATCGTTGGATTCCTCTCATTGTCTAGTTTCCAAATATATATAAATCATTGCGCAGAAACCCTCGAATCCCCCCACATTCTTGTAAATGATATGCACAGAATCAGTCACTATATAATCTAATGCTGTTCCCCCTTTGACCTCCCCATGGGGGGCTGCCGCCCCCCAACCCTGCCCAGGAAAACAGGGTATCCTCCACATATTCATAGCAGACGTGAGCATATGACCGCAATGTGGGCGCGGTGTTGCCGAGTCTGTCCAACGCTTTCTCCTGCTGTGAATATGTGGAGGATTCTTTGAGAGGAATCCATCGATACGGCAATTGTTGTGATCCGTTATGCAGATGTATTAGAAAAAGATTACCCTGTTTTACACCTTGAAAGACTGAATTAATCTTAATCATTGTGATGTGTGTGAACGTATTAATATATATTTTGGTAATTTTTTTAGAATAGTTCTGCATAACTGATTGCAATAATTTTGGTATCAAAGACCTCCTCTTACTCTTTACTATCCAATTATATAGAAAAATTGCATGGAACCCTCCCAACCCCCACATTCTTGGCCATGGTAGCATGGTAGGGCATGAAAGGTACTAGGGAAATTGTGGTGCAATATTTAAATAGTATACACCAAATTTTTTTCTAATGCATTGCTAACTGCATCCCTTCGATGGAGCTGCTGCCCCTCAACTCCCACCCAGAAAAAGAATAAAGAATACTCTAAATATTCATGTCAGGAGAGAGTATCAGATGTACTTGCCATCAGGTACTCCCGCATGTTGGTCATGTGCTCTCTCCTGCTGTGAATGCATGGAAGATTCTTTGTGTTTCATAGCTAGGGTTGGGGGACTGTGGGGAGCACAGCCCTCTGTATTAGACAATATAGTGACTGATTTTATGTATATTTCTATTTTACACAGCAATTTGTCTGGTCCTCCCCCTCTATTAGGACCTAGATTGTTGTTAATGGGTGGTGGGGGGGGATTCTGTGCAATATTTTCTATATATTTGCATAGTAGAGAGAGAGAAATCCATCGATACCAAAATCGTTGTGATCTGTTTGGCAGAACTAGTCTATAAAATTACCTATATTTCTTAGTATTGCCCAATGGTCCTACTTTTTAATTTACCACATTTCGTGAGCAATAATTGCTGTCAATTTTTTAGTACACCCAATACCCTAATCTCAATTATTGTGCTTTATATTGATAGAACACATCAATCAGTAAATAATCAGAACACCTTTGTTCAACTGATCTCAATGAGAGTAGTATCAATGGATTCCTCTCATTCTCAACTCCCCATATATGTAGAAATAATACCATGGAACACCTCCCCCACATACCCACATTCTTGGCCTTGATAGCAGCGGAGGGGCCAGACTGGAAGCTTTACATGCACAGAGAATTGGTCAATATACTGTCAAATGCTCTTTGCAACCCCCTCCTCCTCTGCATTAGACAGAATAGTGACTTGCGCTGTGTATAATATTATTACAGTGACATATTTTGCGTCTATTATTCATATTTACCCCACAATTTCCCTGGTACCTGTCATGCCCTTCCTTGCTAATGGGACCTAGAATGTGGTGTTTTGGGCTGGTTCAATGGGAAGTGCACTGCATATATGGATAGTAAAAGCTTAGAAGAATCCATCAATACCACTATCTTTGTGATTGGCCCTTGCAACCAGAACCGTTTAAAATGCAAAGTTATTCTAAACAATTGCCCATACAGGTGGTCCCCTACTTGCGAACTTCTGAGTTAAGAACTTCAGTACATACGAACAAAGGAGCGAGTGAGAGTAATGCACTTAGTAAACAATAGCTCTCTCACTGTACCCACACAGTCTCATTCAAACATGTGTTGTGCGCTCTCCAGAAAACTTTGTGATTTTGTGATTGTTTTGCAAAGTTTTTGCCCTTATTAAGCATTCTAACATGTTGGGTGTTAAGTGCAAAAGCAGTGGTGATGCGGCTGGTAGTGCTAAGAAACGGCAGGCCATCACGATGGAAACAAAAGTGGACATCATAAAAAGAGTGGAGCGCGGTGAGAAGATGGCAGATGTTGCTCGTTCGTACCAGATGAATCGTTCTACCATCGGTACAATACTCAAGAACAAGGATAAGATCATGGAACATGTGAAAAGTTCAGTCCCTATGCAATCTACTATTATTAGTAAGAAACGTGGAAAAGTGATAGAAGAACTTGAAAAACTTCTGAGCATTTGGATGGAGGATTGTCATCAGAAGAGCAAACCGCTTAGCCTAATGCTTATTCAAGAGAAGGCTTTAAGTCTTTTTGAAGACTTGAAGACGAAATATGGGGAGGAAGCAGCGGATGTGACTTTTACTGCAAGCCATGGATGGTTTAACCGCTTCAAGGCACGTTATAACCTCCATAATGTAGAGGTGGCTGCAGAGGCAACAAGCGCAGATACGGTAGCAGCCCAGGAGTTTCCTACCACACTTAAGGAAATCATCAAAGAAGGCGAGTTTTCACCTTATCAAAGTAAGATTAAAGATCTTACAGTAATTTAGTACTTATTATAAATTTTATTTTATGTACTGTATTTGAAGGTTGTTCGAAGCACATTAAAAACCATCGAAAACTACTGTATTGTTTATACCGGCACGTCCGAAAGTAGAGCTGGTTGTACAGTAAGCAAAACATACCGTACACCGTACTACGGACATAAGAACAAATGTACTTACGAACAGCCTACTGGAACAGAACCTGTTTGTAACTTGGGGACCACCTGTATATCTAATAATTTTCATCATAAAAATTTGGCGCAAGTGTATATCAACAACACTTAAATCCGAGAATCTTACTTCCCTTACTTCTCTATAATTGTTATTGTTTCCATGGTCATGCGACGCTTGTGCAACTTATGTCTTACTCATAAAATAGTTGGAAAA